AAGGACTCTTCCAGCTCTTCTCTGAATCTTGGTATGAACTCTCCGGTCAAGAGAACCGTCAGTGACAAGGCACCGCTTACTCGGGAATGCTACGTCCTCACGTCACGTAATCTGTCTTTTCCCAGAAAGTGAGACCTGTGGATTTAAGGGGAATACTTATGTTAGATGGCATGTTAACTCCAGGCCCTGAATCTCTGCTTTTATTGTCGAGGCCTTATCCTCACATGGAACTCCAGGCTAGGCTTTCTGCTGATTCTGATCAGGCTCCTGGGAACAAAAATAGCCTTAAGTGTTTGGTTTAATCCAAAGGCTCTGGAAATACAGTGTCCAAGGCTGAGATGCTATTAATATTCCCAAGGACATCCTAAGCATACTTATGGATTGATGACTTTCCCATGTACCGTTACCAGACTCAAGTCCATTTCCAGCAACGATGGAAATGAGGTTGGACCCAGAATTTAAAGCACAGGGAAGGCTTTATTGGGGCTTATGCTCGAGCACAAGGGAGGCAGCACTAAGGGAGGAATCCTCAAGCTGACCTCAAGGAGAGGTCAGGGAAAGTTTTTAAAGGAACTTAGGTGGGAAAAGGTTATTTATACCTGTGCATTTAAAGGTCATACTTCTGGGGCACCTGGGTGGCTCAGTTGGTTGAGTGTCCAGCTTTGGCTCAGGTCATGATCTCATGGTTTGTGAGTTCGAGCCCCACGTCGGGCTCTGTGCTGACAGCTTGGAGCCTGGAGCCTGTTTCGGATTCTGTGTCTCCCTCTCTCTCTGCCCCTCTCCTGTTCGTGCTCTGTCTCTGTCTCTCAAACATAAATAAATAAACATTAAAAAAAAATTAAAGGTCACACTTCTTCATGTGTTATGTGTCTAACATGTTAAAATCTCCACCCTTTGCATGTGATTTTTACTATTATAATGAGGGCAAAAGTCAGTAAAAGGTCAAATCTGGCAGACACTGTGTCTCAGACTAGTTTGCTCTGATCCTTAGCTGGTGTCTTGCTCTGCAAGAGAAGTGGTATTGGCCAGCACGGAGCTTCCCAGGGGCATAGAGGCTTGTTCCCAAGGTTTTTACTGTCTCAGTACAATACAGTTATATTAAAATTTGAGTCTTTGAATATATATTAAAAACGTGCAACTTCACAAGTATAGTCTATTGGGAAACATACAATAACTGGTAAAAACTGAGTTTTGAGAACAGTCCAAGAGAAGAAAACTACAGGCAAATCTCATACATGAACACTAGTGACACTGTAAAAGAATAATAAATCGGCAGCTCTTTCTGCCCACAGATCCTGTCCCCATGCTTTACCAAACCATCCCTTTGCACCACGAGGAGGAGGGGCAGAGAAGAGGGAGGATAACGGGGAGAGGGAGGAGGAGAAATCAAATCTAGCAAAAGCTGATTTAGGATGTCATCAAGGGTTTTACCCTAGGAGTACAAAGTTGATTTAAAACCTAAAGTTACGGGCGCCTGGGTGGCTCAATCAGTTAAGTGTCCGACTTTGGCTCAGGTCATGATCCCGTGGTTCATGGGTTCCAGCCCTGTGTCAGGTTCTGGGCTGACAGCTCAGACCCTGGAGCCTGCTTCGGATACTGTGTCTCCCTTTCTCTCTGCCCCTTCCCCTCTCATGCTCTGTTTCTGTCTCTCTCTCTCAAAAATAAATAAACATTAAAAAAAAAAACCTAAAGTTAGGGCCCCTAAAAGTTAAAATATCCTAAAGTTAGGATGTCATCAGGGTATTTACCACAGGAGTACAGAGTTCATTTAAAATCCTAAAGTTGGGGCACTTGGGTGGCTCAGTTGGTTAAGCATCTGACTTCAGGTCAGGTGATGATCTCGTCGGGTTCTGTGCTGATAGCTCAGAGCCTGGAGCCTGCTTCAGATTCTAGGTCTCCCTCTCTCTCTGCCCCTTCCCCATTTGTGCTCTCTCTCTCAAAAATAAATAAACATTAAAAAAATTTTTTTAATAAAATAAAGTTCTAAAGTTAGGGGGCACCTGGGTGGCTCAGTCAGTTAAGCGCCCGACTTTGGCTCAGGTCATGACACCACGGTTTGTGGGT